ACCTAAGGTTGAACTCAAAAAGGTCGGTCGTCGAAACTCTATACCGATATGATCACGATATGTTGCAATGTCGGTAAAATGAGTATGTTTCTTTGTTTCGTGATGATGGTAAGATTTTAACTAGGATCTTATGTCAGTTGCCATTAACTCGACCGAAGTCTCCAAATCTAACGCGAAGGAAAAGCTGCGGTGATGCGACGATGAACATAGGCCTAGAGGAGAAGGGAAGAGGATGCGCACGAGCGCAGCGCCTTAGCTACGGTAGTCACAAATACGAATCAGCTAACGGCATACCGTGCAGAAATAAAGCACAAGCCAATGGGCATTGCTACAACAATCGAAACTACGTAAAGCAGCATGATAAAGAGACGAGAAAAACGACTCTTGCAACGACCGATCCGCTCAAAAGTAATGTATGTATCCCGATTCACTCATGAACATCTTCTTTTTATCTAATGTGAGCTGAAAAAAAATTAAGGGTTGATGTTTGTTTGTTACATAAAAGGGAAATAGCTTGTTTTCTTTGTTGTGTTACCTGTAATGACTTGACTGAGTGAGTTGTGCCACCATCAAATGTATATATATTCTTTGTTTTCCTCAAAGCTATAATGATTGGATAATATTTATAATGAGTGATTCTGAGTGTGAGTGTGATAGATTTAGCGTTTGAAACGTGTCGAGTTTTATCGGGTTAAAAAGTCTTAAGTAGGTATCGAAACTTTTACGAACAGGTTTAGTACTTACATGATAAGCTAAAGTATTCATTCACTCCGTGCCGTATAGTTCTTAATGAATAGAATAAGTGTAACAGCTCAAATCCACTGCTAGTAGATATTGTCCTTTTTGGGCTTCTTTCTGAGATTCCTCCTCTCAAGGTATTAAAACATGTCTACTAAGAAAGAAGAGGTTTCTACACTCATATAAAAAATGTTTTGTTCTCCTCTCCAACCGAGGTAAGATCTCACAATCCACCTCTATTTGAGGCCATGACACTCGGTTTCCCTCTTTCATCGGCAAGTATGCCACAAACCCAATAGAAGATCATCATACGATACCTAAAAGAGGTCCATTCTAAACAACATAACCCTCAACCTCACATAGTCGGATGGACGCCACTTGAAGGTTGTCATCTTGTTTATTTGCTTGTATGGGTCACAACCTATCGTTTTCTTAGTGAGATTGTGACACTTAGGTCATCATACCTTTATTAAATATCATGGTCAGGATCCTGTTACAGTACCTATTGAACGGAGCTTGAGCTAATTTAGATTAAACTAAATTTTTTAAAAATTAATTTAAATTGAAACAAAAATATTGTTATTTTAAATTATATCGTTAGCAATTGGATATTTAATTTTATAATTATTTTTTGACAATTTTGCATATCAAAATATAATGATAAACTTATTTATCTAGATAAATTTATTATTTAAATTAAATGGATACATCCATTCAAATACAAATAAATAATCCCTTCAATTAAAAAAAATTATTACCAATTCTAAGTCAAAAGTATTCCATTTAGAAACAAAGAAACGTGATTTCAACAAATATTCCAAATAAAAAATTAAATTCAAATTCCTTCCAAGTCCATTAACTTTTTTTAATTAAAAAAAAAAAAACCCACAAGTCCTTGGCTCTTGCCAGCGTGGCTTACGCACGTGCGAAATACAGATTTCGAAACGACGTCCCACGGATAAGGCACGAATTGGTGGTTATGCGAAAGAAACAAAGCTTCTGTAAATGGAGAAATCCGCCATTGAAGCTGTGCACTCGAAGCTTCAAACTCGGCTCTGTGATAATTCATCACAGAATCTCAGCCCTATGAATTTATCAAGAAGAGATCACTCTCTGAAGAACACAGAGAAGGAGGATTAATTTGATTGATAAACCGTTGAATTGAAATAAAATTAGTGTGATTGCAACCTCGTCGCCCTAATTTACATTGCGACGAACTGAGAGTAGTAAGTAGTAACAAACCCTAGAAATCGATCAAAACCCTAAACGATTCATTTCTTGACTTTTCTGGCCAGCAATTTCCTCGTCGGCGACTTTACTGTCTTTGACTTCTTCACCGCTACCTTCTTCGGCTTTGTTGCTGGTGCGACTCTCTTTCCTGGCGATGTTCGCGACAACGTTTTGGCAACTTTAGAAGCCTTTGATTTAGGTTTCGGCTTTGGAGCGACCTTCTTCACCTTCTCCGCCGCCTTAGGCTTGGCCACAGCGGCGGCCTTTGGCTTCTGGACGACCTTGGATTTTGCGACCGTCTTCGGCTTCACCACGGCATTCGGCTTAGGTTTCACAGCAGTTTTCGCCTTCGGTTTAGCAACAGCGGCCGCCTTCTTCACACTCGCGGCTGCCTTGAGCTTTGAGATCGTTGTTTTCTTAGCGACGACAGGCGCGGATGAAGATTTCTGCTGAACAGAGCGCGCCGATGGAAGCTTGTAGGAGTTCTTGACCTTAACGAGTTTATCAGCGGCAACAAGCTTCTTCAAATGAACAAGCAAAAGCTTCCTGAAATTCGATGGCAATACCTTGTGCTTCTCTTCGCTAAACTTAGTAATGGCGTACTGACTCGAGCCTGTCCTCTCCTTCAGCGATACGATCGCTTCGCTAATCATCTACAGAACGATTTCAGAATCCGATCAGAACAAATTATTCAAAAGCAAACGAGCATTACTGATCAGAATATAGACAAATTGCAAATACCTGAAAGAAAGGAGGATGAGTCGGCGAAGATTTGGTCTTCTTCGCACCAGATGATTTCTTAGCCTTCGAATCTTTAGAGGCTGCAGTTTTCTTCGACTTCGAATTGTTCTCCACCGCCACAGCGGCAGCAGGCGCGACGGAGGAGACAACGGGATCGGCGGCAGAAGCCATGATCGGAATCGATTAGAATCTCGAACTCGAAACGTTTGCAGAAGAGAGAAAATTCAATGAGGATAAACATCGTTGAGGGAAGATTTATATAATGCAATGGAGTCACACGGCTGAATTCTGATTGGTCGAGAGGCTTTGACGCGGATCATGGTCCTTGTAGAAGTTTGAATTTGGACCGTTAGATCTAGGGTTTATCAACGGTAGAGATTGATAGTAGGGGTTAAGAAAGGATATGGATGGGGCAAGTTGAAAATGGGGGATGGGAGTTTTAGATGTGCTTTTCACTTGACTTCTTAAGATCATGACTTGTTAAATACTTGATGAATTGTTGTGATATTGGGAGGGGTTTGTAGCTTAGATTCTAAGCTTTCCAATGAATGTAATTTCAAGTTGTTTGATGTTCGATATCAAAAGTTACTGAGTCTCGAGTGAACGTCGGTTGAAATTAGGGTTTTTTCAACGTAATTGTGTTTCCGATTGATTTAATATCAAACTTTTTTGTTTCACTACGGTATTTATCTTCTTGATAGTTTGAGCGGTGTAAAAGTTGGGAATTTTTATCGAAGTTTTGATGTAAAATCTTAAGCCATAATTTCACGAAAGTTACACGGGTTAATAGCAAGTGGGTCACTACTAAACGTAAAAATGTAGTTTCAAATAAAAATAGTTGGCTCTTTTATTCCGTCCTTTGAAACATGTTTCAAATATGTACTATGTAATAGGATTAAGATTGAATTGTTTACTTTATGGATGACACGTTATAATATTTTGTCTTCGGGATAACTTGATTAGTGTTGAGTAACACCTTCTTCCATTCATATCATTCAACCTCGTTATCCTTATCATTACTTGATTCAATGCTTTATAACAATTCCCACCTCTCGGGATTGGGCTATCGTGGTATTCAAGAGAATTTGATTCTTCCACAAGAAGTAAAGAGATAATATTACTTGATTGTTAAAATCGAAAATCTAAAGGGAAATATCCTTCTTATAAATATCTTATAAAAGAAAAGATAAAAAAGAGTCAATATTGTGAGATCTCATATCAGTTTGGAGAGATAACCAAGTGCATTCTTCACAAGAGTGTGGAAACTTCTCCCTAACAAACAAGTTTTAGAATCTAGAGAGAAAGTTCGGAAGGGAAAGCCGAAAGAGGACAACATCTGCTTAGTGGTGGGCTTAAGCTATTACACCCCTAACATACGAGTTTTTAAACTGTTACACCCCTAACACGAGTTTTAAAATCTTAAGGGTAAGCTCAAAAGGGAAAACTCAAAGAAGACAAAATCTACTGTGTTTGGGCTGTTACACCCCTAGCAAACGAGTTTAAAAATCTCGAGGGGAAGCCCTAGAGGAAAGGTCCAAAAAAGACAACAACTACACGTATATACAACTTGCTTCAAATGATGCTCATCAATACAAATATCTAAGCAATTACTGATCTAAATCTTACAAATCAAGACAAAACGTTTGAAAGTTCAAAGACCCCGGTAGCTTTAAGGGGGAAAAGTAAGCCTGATGATATAAGAGAAAGGGCAAATACAAAATGCATTTGAACATCCATCCATTAGAAGATAAAACTAGTGGGGATGGAAACTTACTTAAGGTGAACAGAACAGCATTAGAAGAATTGAAGTATGTAGGGGAAAAAAGATGAAGAAACAAAAGGGGATTTGAGAGAGAGAGAGAGAGAGAGAGAGAGATGAAAAGAAAACTAAGAACATAATCATTCGAAGAGAATTCCTAAAGAAAGTGTATGCATAGCGCATAAAATTGTACTTTGCAAAAGAGCTAATGAGTGTACTGTAAATAGAAAGAAGATTATCATAAGGAATAGAGGCAGCAGGTTGAACTTGACTCCGATCATCAAGCTGTTGTTGTATGTAGAGTTTAAAAGTACAAATTGCAATGCATATACTGTCCAATCAAAACAAACAGAAAGACCCAATAGCTAATACCAACATAAATACAACACACTCCCTGAAGTTTGCCAAAAATAGCAGAGGCAGCTGGTTCAACATGATGCTTTTTTAAAAAACTCCCAAGGTTTTGGATTGATTGATTGATTGTTTGTTTGTTTTTTTGTTGACTGGTTAGGCAGCTGGTTGGTTGGTTGGTTCAAGGGGGCGGTGGTGGTGGTGGTGGTGGTGCAAGAAGAAGAAGAAGAAGAGAAGAAGAAGAAGAAGAAGAAGGTCGAAGAGGCATGGTGTTGGGGCGTGTTACCGACCTGAGGGATGGACAAGTTGGGAGAAGATTTCAGTACTCTCTTGTTCATCAGTTTGTTGAAGTAAATCTTGTTCACTTCCAAGGCTGAGGTTGTTGTAATGAGCAGTCATGTCTTGGTTTCTGTGGTTATCTATGTCGTCGTCGTTGTTGTTGTTGCTGCTGCTGTTTATTCTCGATCTGTGACTCGAGCCACCACCATCGGCACTTTCTTGTAGTTGGAGAGCAAATTCAAGGTTCCACAAGACATCACCCATAGAAGGACGCTCGGCTCCATGGTCGTCGAGGCATTTCTCAGCTGCATCAGCAAACTTCTTCAAGCTATCAGGGGTGATTTTGCCTTTGAGGTAGGGATCAATGAGATCGTCAAGAACTCCTTTGCGTTTGCAGTGCAACGCCCAATCCGCAAGACTAACCTGTTCCTTGGGGAGGCTTGGGTTTAAAGCAGGCCTTGCACACAACACTTCAAACAGAACAACTCCAAAAGAATAGACATCAGATTTCTCAGTGAGTTGTTGCCTTCTGAAGTACTCTGGATCTAAGTAGCCAAAGCTACCCTTAACGACGGTGCTAACATGACCACCGTTAGCCATGTTCGGACCCGTTTTCGAGAGACCAAAATCGGAAACCTTTGCAACCCAGTTTTCATCCAAGAGAATGTTGGTAGTTTTGACATCTCTATGAATGATGGTGTACTGTGCTCCCGTGTGAAGGTAGTGAAGTCCTCTAGCTGCTCCAATGCAAATCTCCAGCCTTTTCTTCCATGAGAGACGAGTTTTATTATTATTGGTCTTATACAGATGCTCCCTCAGAGTTCCCAAACCCATGTAATCATAAATCAAACACATCTCATTCTCTTCATCACAAAAACCAATCAAGGAGACCAAATGTTTGTGTCTCAGCTTCGAAAGCAAATCTATTTCTGTAAGGAATTCGTGAACTCCTTGTTCCGACTGCGGGTTCGACCTTTTAATAGCAACTTTCGTTCCTCCATCGATCACTCCCTTATACACCTTCCCGAATCCTCCAACCCCAATCACGTTAGACTCACTAAAGTTTTTCGTAGCATTTAAAATCTCTGCAAGCGAAAAATGCCGCGCCAAACCTTGTGCCAAATTACTCGCCATACTCTTCCCAGACACGGTTGATTTGCTCCCACTCGAATGCGAATTCCCATAGATCGGTAACCAGCTAGCTGTATGTGAATCACTCCCTGGCATTCTGTTCTTCCTTTGGTACACTGCAAAGCAAAGTGCCACCACAACAAATGCTGCAGCCCCCCCTGCAGCCCCTCCAATCACTTCAACATTGTTGCTCTTTGCTTCAAACTTTCTGTCTCCTTGCCCCTCAAGCTTCATCCTAAATGCCGACGTTTGAGGATTCATCCCTGCCAAGTTCTTCCCAGATTCCAGCTTGAATATCTCTAGCCCATTCAACATTGCATCCGCAAACTCCGGCGACTCCGAATATTTCGGATGCAATGCCAGCCATATCTCCTGCAATGTTGCTGCTTCTGGCGAAAACACTACATAATCCCTGTATTTTGGCACCCCCCGCCCCCCCGACCAAGCTATCACATCGATCCCCCTCGTGTCCGCCGTTTGGTTGTTGATGAACACATCAAACACCACCTGATTTGCCCTACTCAATGTCAGATCACAGAAATGCAATCTCATTAGATACATGAATCCTGGATCAATATTAGGAAACAGCCATGTCAAATTGTAATTCCCATTCACACTCGCTTCTGTCCCCATTGATCTCAACGACCTGTAAACTTCCTCAGGTGCTATATAACTCGGCATATCTTTATAGTTAATCACCAACCTCTTCGCAGCTTCTACCGCCACACCCTCTGCAGCACCATAAAGATAAGGAAAATCATCATACCATGTTCTTGTCAAACCCGAGTCGTTCACCGGAGAAATGTAGCTCCCACCGACGTTCAATCTCGCTATTGTCTGCATACTCATCTTCGTAACGTCCGTAGTTTGCCGCCCTGCACCAATCATCACTGCTTCCCCAAAGATCTCCGGCATTTGAACCAATTCAATCCCATTCACAAAAGCAAATCCAGTAACAGGGGTGAAGGTCAAATTTAGGGTTTCAGATGCGGAAGCCGCGAGAGTAAATTCGCGGATAATGTAGGCCTGAGTTAAGGCCTGACAGGTGAGATGAACACTAAAATTCTTCGCAAGGGACAAATCATTCGCGGCGATGGTGAAAAAGGAATTCGCAGAATCATGAATGCCATAAGTGGAAGGATAGAAATGAAGTCGAAGCCAATAGCGATTACCAGGTTTGATCGGAAATTTATACGCCGTCGCAGAAGTGAAGATCCTAGCCTCCATATATGGAACCTGCGATGTCATGGACGGATCTTGAAACCCCGCCGACGCCGTTTGGGTATTCTTGGAGGGGAGGAATTTGGAATCGGGAGTCCATTTTCGGCCAACATCATCGGTAGATTCTTCATTTGAACCACAGCGCAACAACAAAGGCGGATCGGAAGCAAGAAGAGGAGAGGAATAAACAGGGGTGAAGAGGGCAAGGAAGAGGAAGAAAAGAGAAAACATCACATGGGTATTGGCATTCATGTGGGAACTATGTGTGTTTGGCGTACAGGAAAAAGATCAGCGGAGAAGGAAAAGGAGGAGGAGGAGGAGGAGGAAGGTGAAAATGGAAGAAATCCTTTTTTCCTGCACGCCAGAGGAAAATAATGGCCAATGGGTTGGCTACTTTAGGTTTTGTCTTTAGGAACCATAGCCTAAACCATCTCTAATCAACAATGGAGGAGCTGCTTTAATGGTATAGGAGAGATTTTTGGTTTGAAGGAGGCTTCAAAGTTGAAGGTTGTTTAAGATTTGTTCTTCCACCATTCATTTCTAACAGACATCGTCAACTGATTTATGCTATTTTTGGATTTCGCACAGAACATTTCAGATTGGGACAAATCATGCTTTGTGATTAATTATAGAAACAGAGAAAGAAACAAAGAACGTAGTGTGGAATATGGTAAACGAACTTACTGGTTCATCTTCTTCCGTCATCGTCGTCGCCATGCCCGTAGGGTTTCTTCTCCCTTTCCGCTTTCTCTCTCTTCTCTCTCTCTAAAACACAGTCCGCAAAAAAATAGTGGGAAATTTAAAATCCAAACTATATATATACCCTTTAAATTATTTAATAAAAAATATCACTAAATTTTCAAAAATATTCATTTTTTTTTTAATTATTTTAAAATATTCTTTTTACTTTTAATAATAATTTTAAAATACTTTTAAATCTTTAAAAAATAATATAAAATTTTAAAAATAATATTATTGTTAATATTCTTACCAAACGTTACCCTACAAAGTATTTTTTAAACGTAGTATTAATGGTAAATAAAATTTTAAAACAATATTAAAAGTTAAATAGTAATTTTGAAAGTTTAATTATATTTTTAAAATAAAGTGTTATTATTGGTCTAAAAACTTTAAGATATTATATATTATAATTATAAATGTGTTAAAAATTACATTTTATGATTTTTAATTTAATGTCAATAATTAATTAATTAATATGATGGGAGAATAAAAAAAAAATATATATTATCAAATTAAATAAAGTTAAAATAAATATATGTCCTTGGATGATGTGGGACTTTCATCCAACCGTTTTCCTCAAACAAAACTCGGCTCCATGCCTTCGACGTTCACAAACTCTTCACAATGATATGATATTGTCCGCTCAAGTTTGCTTTTGGCTTTTCCCAAAAGGCCCTAAATTAGTTGATGTGGGACTTTCATCCGATAGTTTCCCTCAAACAAAGCTCGACTCTATGCCTTCGACGCTCAGAGTACTTTTGTTCGGTATTTGAAGATTCTATTGACATGGCTCAGTTTAGGGCATGAGTACTTTTGTTCGATATTTGAGGATTCTATTGACATGACTCAGTTTAGGGCATGAGTACTTTTGTTCGATATTTGAGGATTCTATTGACATGACTCAGTTTAGGGCATGATTCTGATACCATTGTAACAACCTAAAAAATAATGATAAATGTATTTTGTATTTTATGTGTGGTGTGTTTGATGATGATGATGATGATGATGATAATAATAATAATAATAATAATAATAATAAAAAAAACGAAACGAAGCAGCTGCGTCAAGCAGCTGCTGTAAAGGGGGGATGAGGGGCGGCGGACGCGTAGCTGGAGGCGTGGGATGGATGAGTGAATGATTAAAGGATGTGGAAGTGTGTTAAGGCTGGATTAAGTTTAAAAAAGGAAGAAAAAAAAACGAAGAAGGGTGATTAGCGAAAAACCCAGAAAAACAGAGGAGGAAATTTTGAGAATTCGAGTTTTGGTTGCTTAAAATTGGACATCAATCGAGGGTAAAGGAAGAGGGGTTGTTGCTGAGGAATCATTTGAGGAAGGGGATACGGCCACGAGCTGAATCGGACGGTGATTCGAAGGTAACGAAAAAAACCCATATCACCGAACCTTCAAATCTCGATATCTTGATTCACACTGCATAATAAGTTATGAAATAAGGTTTGTTAGAACCGTAGTTAGAAGATCTATAAAGTTGTAGAAGAAATCATAACGAAATTCGAGCTGTAGAGATGAAATTTTTGCTTCGGGACACAACGGGTATTAAAGGAAAAGATTGAGAAAAATTGCAGGGAGGAGAGGTTGAAGACGAGCGCATGAAGGACACGCGAGGCGCGTGGGAGGCCGCGAGTGGATGTGCGACTGTACGCGGATCAGGAGCGTGAGAAAACGAACCCCCGACCTTGTATTGGTGCGTGAGGGCGCGTGAGAAGGTATTTTGGCTCCCGGTTTGTCCCGTTCGACTCCTTTTGACCTGTCCTATCAAAACTGATCTATACTTATGTTGAAATCGATAAAATATAGGTCTAATAGGAAGGAATTGTGTTGAAATACTATTAAACGTACATTCAAGGGGGAAAAGGAGTTCGCAACCAAGTAAGTAGCGTATCGACCTTTGAACTAGTTCTTAACTTGTTTTACAACATGTGAGTATGTTGTTTACCTGATTAAGAGCTTAATAAGTTATGATGAACTTTGATGATATTTAGTGTTTATTGTATATTGTGACTGCTTGCCTGTGATGTAAGCGTGATATAAATGATTGTCAGAATGTTCTACGTGTTGATCATGATACATGTATGGAAGCATGCAGTAACTGTGAGTATGTTATGCATGTTAATGGGAAGGTTATGACTCTAGATATGCTTATTGGTTGTTGAGCTATGGCTTATTTACTGAGTATGATAGTCTACTAATTCCCGCGGAGTTCCTGGCCAACGCGCTGTGTGCTAAGTCAGGGAGCATGAGTACTCCTGACCGTTGGTATATGAGATAAATAGGCCGCCAGAGCAATTAGTAGACGGGCCGTATTTGACCGAGAGCGAGTCTTACATACGAGTCCGAAAATTCTAGATAAGCATATTGAGAGAGAGTTAGTAACCTAGCTGGAGGTAGCTGAGATACCTCATTAACGAACAGATGACCCTAGTAAGAGAACTAGGAGTCAGTGATGAATAAAACGTAAAAACACCTGGAAAGATTAGTTATGAACCCGTGAATGATAAGCTAGCTACTTACTGAGTAATCTAATTACTCATCAGAATTATTATAACTTTTCTTTCCAGATGTAGATGCTGCAGGCTAGCCGAGGACGAGACCAGCGGGCTAGAGACTACTGGGAATCCATGTCTGGGTCTGTTATGTAATTATGTTTCCGTTGTCAAGAATTTACCTTAGTCGTTTTAAGTTTTTTTTTAAGTACTGTTTTTTTTTTAAATATTTTACTGGATGTTTTTTTAGAAATACATTGAATTTTATGATTGGATATCAGAGTCTCTTAATATTGTCGATGTTAACTCCTGATAATCGTTGACGATAAGCGGGTGTTACAACCATGTTAGATAAAGCTCGATTCCATGCCTTCGACGCTCACAATACTTTTGTTCGATATTTGAGGATTCTATTGACATGACTCAGTTTAGGGCATGACTCTGATACCATTTGTTAGCTTTGATACCATGTTAGACGAACACAACTCCGCAATGATATGATATTGTCCACTCTGAGCATAAGCTCTCGTGGCTTTACTTTGGACTTCCCCAAAAGGCCTCAAACCAATGGACATGATATTCCTTAAGTATAAACCCATGATCATTCCTAAATTAGTGGAGGACTTTGAACGACACAACCAACATATAGATATTTTTCGTTTATATATCGATGTAAAATTTTTTTAAATTTTTTTATAAAAATAAATGATCTTAATGTTACTTTTGAGATTTTAGACGGTATTATTAAAATAAAATATTAACTATTTCATGAGAAAAAAAAAAAAAGATTTTTTTATTTTTGAGATAAATACAAAATTGGATTTTCTTTTTATTAATTAAGCGTTAAATAAAAATGTCAAACCTTCCAATTTTGTAATATTTATAATCCAATAATTGATTAATTTAACTAAAAAAAATTAATAATATTTCTACCATCTTCTTCGTCTACACTGCGTCACTGGTTTTAGGGTTTAAACCGACACCTTCTTCCTCTAGGGTTTTAGGAACCAGTCTCACAACTCCATTTTCGTCTTCTTCTTCTTCCTCTAGGGTTTCGGAACAAGTCTCACAAAGCCTAACTCCATGGCGCCCGATGCTTCAGACGCCCTCGCAGGTTCTTCTTTCACTTTCCTCTGTACAATTCTTCCCATTTTCATTATTTATTTATTTTTTTTGTCGTCGTCGTCAAAATTTAGTGCAACTTATTGATAGTTATAGAATATATCTTAGATTCAGTTAATAATTTTCTCTTTAGATTTGGTTTGTAGTATATTTTATTTAGTTAGTTTATATTTTTCTTATTATCCGTAGGTGTTAGTTGGTATCTTGTATCCTATTAACGTTGTGAATATCAATGAAAATTGAACCTTCGATCCCAATTCTATTTCTAATTCGTTGAGTAATAATATTTTCATATCTATTCACACTTTTGAAGGGTAGATATTGTGTCAGTTGTTGTTGTTTATATCCTTACTAGTTTTGTTATGCAAATTCGCGGATTGTATTCAGCGAGGCAGACAGTCCAACAATTTCTCAACGCCTCTCGCATAGGGAACATTGATCTCTTGAAGAGTAAGTTTCTGCTTAATCAGCTTGAATTTGGTTACTTTTTTCGTGTAAATTTTGTCGATCTCTTATGGAATGCTTCGGTGTGTTGGAGTAGATTTGGCTGCTAGGCTTGATGAAGGGAAGGGACTGGCGGGAACTGTGGCTGACATTAAGGATGCTAATAAGCGAGGTGCACTTCATTTTGCGGCAAGAGAGGGAAAGACTGAGGTCTGCAAGTATCTGTTAGAAGAATTGAAGCTCGACGTTGATACAAGAGACGAAGATGGTAAGTTACTTATTTATTGGCTGGGGGAATTTGGATTAAAAGATAAGGGAAATTTATGTTAGGAATCACGACTCTCCACACTAGTATGATATTGTCCACTTTGAGCATAAGCTCTCGCTTTGGGCTTTCCCAAAAACCTCAACCAATGGAGATGTATTCCTTTACTTATAAACCCATGATCATTCCTTAAATTAGCCGATGTGGGACTCATTCCCAACAATCCTCAACAATTTAGTGCTAGTCGTCAGAGTTGGTAATCGTTGGACTATAAACCATGTAAAGCCTTTTCTTATTGCCCTTGATGTTCAACTAATTGAAGGAAAACTGAAAACGAATTTGATATTCCCTTTTATGCATATTATAGATTTGTTTTTTTTTGTCTCCACTTAAACATCAGTGAAAATGAATCCTGATTCACTTTGTAGACACCCTCTTAGTTTTGTAGATTTTTTTTTTTCTAAAAAATATATATAAAACAAGGTAAATAACTACACTCCAAAGCTTGGTCTTGAAGAAAAAGTTCCCAATTTTTTTTTTTCATTTACAACTGGTGCTGATTTGGTCGCTAGACATAGATTAGTTTGGAATCCATGTTAACATTTAGATTTAGGTGGATTATGTCTGTTTTTACTTGGTTGAGTATTTTATCACTGAGTTTATATCCATTTTGAATTATATCGTAGTT